GGATAATATGTCCCAAGTATGAGAGACGAAGCTTAGCCATCCTGGCCTCCAAGGAGCACTCTGGCTGCACTTCTTCCAAAACAGATCTATTGTTACTCTTTCTTAAATGATTCTCTGTGTACTGAGAGCATTGTGAAGGTTACTTGATTTATTCTGACTAATAGCTGTACAGGAGCCCGGGTGGCACAGTGGTTAAGTGCTTGGCTGATAACCAAAAGGTCTGTGCTTTTAACTCACTCACCAGCTACTCTGTGGGAGAAAGATGTGACAGTCTGCGTCCTTAAATGTGATAGCCTTGGAAACCCTAAGGAGCAATTCCACTCTGCCCTATATCCACAGTTGCTATGAATTGGAATCAATGGCAGGGGGTTGTTTTTTTGTTTTTTAAATAGCACTATAACTATCATTTGAAGTCCTGATGTGGCACTGTAGGATAAGCACTGGACTTATCTAACTGTAAGGTTGGCGTTTCAAACCCACCCATTGCTCTTCAGAAACCTTACACATGATTGCGATGAGTCGGAACCAACTCAGCAACACTTGTCAACAACAACAACAACAACAACGTCACTATTATTACCCTTAGAGAGGCAAATGAGACACAGATACGCTAGTAACAAATCCAGTACTGAGTGAGCAAGTGACCTTGAATAGTGTTGAGGCGGTCACCAGGATTAGGTCTCAGGTCAGCCTGACCACTGAAAGGAACATTCCTCTGCCTTATCGCTGCGTGCAATCAGCAATGAATCCCACCTCATGTTGCTTCGAGGGGAATGTCCCACCAACTCACCGGAGGAGTTTCCTGAAGTTCATCCAGCCCGGCCGACTGCTGTCTGACACCAAGAGCTTGGACTGCAGGGAAGGGCATTCGTCACTAATGGCGTCCACCCGCGGAGCCAGAGCTTCACTGGTGATAATGGTCTTTGCCCTGGACGCCTGCAGCCGGTATCTGAGGTCCTTCTCCGTCAGCTGAGAGACACCAGGGATCATGACAGCCCCTGATAATACCAGAGGAAGAGAAAGGACCCCGTGGAGAGGTGCAGGCCTAGTATCTCCCTTGGAAGATGGGGCAAATGGGACCGGAGGGGGTTGGAATGTCTGAGCTGAAAATATTAACAATAATATTAATAGTGGCATCTCAAAATATGTTATGGAGCACTTGTACATATGGAGGGCTTTGAATTATTTCATTCAATCCCTACAACTCTGGGAATTAGATACTATTAGTATTTTTGTTGTTGTTATGGGCCGTTGAGTCTGTTCGAACCCATATCAACCCTGTATAGCATTTCCGAGGAGCAGCTGGTGAGCTTGAACTGCCATCCTTGTGGTTCAAGCTGACGTTGCAGTCCAGCGTACTAACCCACAGCACCACACCAGGACTCCACTTGTGCAGCTAAGGAAACTAAGGCCTATGAACAAAATCAGAAGCTATAGTGACTGTGGCCTTCATTTGGTTGAGCTGAGAAGCAGCTGCTCTGTGAGGGGAAGCATGTGATGGCCAGTTCACCACAGTCCTCACCGTTCCCTACTGCCTCATAGTTGGCCTGCTTACCTCATTTTGGCCTGCTACCTCATACTTGGCCTGCTTTTGCATCACTAGCTGCTGCTTGTATACAACCAAGTTTGTGATTATTTGGCATAGAGATAGTGAAAAAACAACAACAGCTCTCTACAGAATTTATTTTGCTTCATTCCTCACACCAAAAAGCTCTGGCAGGTTGTGTAGCCCCCATTGGAACTCCCGGTCTTGCTTACTGACCTGTCCGCATACATGCCACGCTCACCAGCCACCACTCTGGAATTCGAGGGAGCACCAGCATCATTCTGTCCCCAGGCTGCAGGCCACATGCGCCCCCCAGTACATTGGCCGCCTTTCTGGACTGCCTCCCCAGCTCCTCAAAACTCCATTTGACCTCTGTTCCCAGGCCATCTACCCACCAGAATGCAGGATTTGGGGGCCGGTGTCCAGTCTAGATAGTGGCACAATCAGAAAAGAAATAAAAATTGTTTCTTGAAGACTTTTGCTTTCTTTTTAATTTTTTTTTTTCTAATTTCAAAAAAAAAATTATTAATTTTTTTTACAGTAGTTAATAATCATGAAACTCAAAACAACATGGAAAGGCATTGTAAAACACTGACAAGTTTAGTTATCATCCTGTGTCCTATCTACCTACACTTGTCGTGATGCTAGTTACTTTGATTTGTTTCTTACATCTCCTTAACAAGATGTAAGAATGTACTTATATTTGCTTCTTAATGCAAATGTAAGTATATTCTTATTTTCCATCCTGCTTTTTAAATGCAAAAGATAGCACAGAATTCCACGTTCTGCAGCTTCCCTTTTGTGTGTGTGTGTGTGTGTGTTATTTATATGCCATAAAATCCAATATTTTCAGGTGTACGTACAATTCAGTTGTTCTTAATGTACTCACAGAGTGGTACAGCTATCACCACTGTCTAATTTCAGAACATTTCCATCATGCCAAAAAGAAACCTTATTCTTATTAGAAATCACTCTCTATTCCCGTCTACCCCGAACTCTTAGAGACCACATGTCTACTTTTTGTTTCTATAGATTTGAAATAAAATTTTATATTTATATTATATTTATAATAAAAGGTTAGCATAACTTAAGATAAATAAAAGGTAACCCTAGAATGCAAAGCGAGAGAGACAACAGCGACATATGGAAGGGAATAAAGAAGGAAGGCCCGTGTATACAGAGAAGTCAGAATATTCAATCCTAGGTGGCCGCCATGGTTTGTGAGAAGGGTCCTGGAGCAGCTGTGTCCCTATTGAAGTGTCACATGCATGAGGATGAGAGAGAGATTTAAAGACAGAAAAAAACAAAGCAAGACTTTCTCCCTCAGGTCACAGGGCCATGCCTGTCTCAGTGTGTGACTCAGACTTGGGGACATGAGGCACTTCATGGACTGAGTGAGGGTGTCTTGGTCTCTGAACCCTAATGGTATAAGGATTCAGCATCGGGCTGCTAACTGAAATGTTAGGGGTTCAAGTCCACCAGCCTCTCTGTGGGAGAAAGCTGTGATGGTCTGCTCCCATAAAGATTATAGCCTTGGGAACCCTGAGGGACCAGTTTTCCTCTGCACTATAGGGGTCACTAGGAGTCAGAATTTACTAGGCGAAGATGGGTTTGGTTGGGTTTATAGGGTCACTGGTAGCGTAGCGGTTACCAGGTAAGCTGCTAACTTCAACATCAGTAGTTCAAAACTACCGGCTATTCCATGGGAGAAAGACAAGGCTGTAAATAAAGATTTACAGCCTTGGAAACTTTATACAGGATCGCTATGAGTCAGAACCGACTCCACGGCACACAACCAACCAACAAAAATAGGGCTGTGATAAGTCAGTCAGAATTAGGCTTGACAGCAATAGCGTTAGTTTGGGTTTGGGTTTGGTTTTTGGCTCACAATACCCCGGCACAATATTTACCCCTAAGATTTCAATTCTGCCAATGACTTGCAAAGTTCCCAGGTCAAACTGTCCACAAGTACAAGTCTTAAACAGCCTTGAGTCTCATGGGGGTATATGAGGTCAGTCTCAGGTGCCCACAGTGCACAGCAGGACACACACAGCGTCATCACCTTTTCCATCTGACTCCACACGTCCAGCACATCACGGGCAAAGTTGAAATACTCAGGCACTGGCTGCCTCCCTAGGCTGATGGCTTCCCAGGTGGCCACGATCTTAGGAGGGTCAGGTGAAGGTCTCAGCTGCCCTGGGGGTCCACAGAATCCTCTGGAGCTCCTCAGAGTCTGCAGGAGGGGGCTTCTCAGCCACAGCCTCATGGTGTTGCCTCTGCCTGTCACCAGAGAGAGGCAAGAGCAAGCCACCCTGAAGGCTGGGCTTTGGGGAGGAGGCTGAGACGGGGGAGAAGGCTGTGGTAAGCACTGGTCGAGCATAGAGCACAGACTGACTGACTCTCAGTTCTGCTATGTAATTTCTTCGAGTCATTTCTCCTTTTACTACCTGGGGGCAGGTGCAGATTACTCAGTAAGCAAGGTATGCATGAACTTACTTGTGTTTACTAATCTGTAGTGAAATGCATGTGGAACTGTTTACTTCAGAACAGTAAGGAAACACAAGTAAACGTGTGCTTGCTTTGCTTATTAGGGAATCTGACACTGTCTGGGGGTGTCTGTGAGCAAGGTTTCAGTAACTTAGTACCCAAGGCTCAGCCCTTCAGAGGTCCTCCCTTCCACACCCTTTGGTCAATCCTGAAGGCCCTAGATCAGCGCTGTTCAATAAAATATCATTTGAACCATGTCTGTGATTTAGAAGGTCCCGATTGTTCATGTGGTTCTGTAGGATAAGCATTTGACTGCTAACCATGAGGTTGGTGGTTCAAACCCACCAGCTGCTCCTTGGAAACCCTATACAGGATCTCTATGAGTTGGAACCGACGCAATGACATGTAACTCATCTCATAGAGATCTGGTGTGGCAGAATGAAACTACCCCGTAACGTTTTCTAAGCTGTAATCTTGGTTAGAGAAGATTCTCTGGACTTTCTCCCTACAAACCACTTGGTGGGTTAGAACTACAATCATTTGGTGAACAGCTGAAAGCTTAACTGCTATATCATGAGGGATCCTCAAACAGTCCCTAGGTGACACAGTTTGTGCTTGAATGCTAACTTAAAGGTGGGTGGTTCCAACCCACCCAGGGTACTGTAGAAGTAAAGTCCTAGCAATCGCTTCTATTAAGATTACAGTCAAGAGGAAAGTAATGTTACAGAGAGGAGAGAGACAGGAGGCTGCGTCTGGTTCCCACTTTCACAGCCATTGCGTTTCTTGAGTTCCAGCGAGACGGCGCTGGGCTAGGCAGAGTCGGATGACATTGGGCAGACTCTGTGCCTCGCGGATGGAAAACAATAGTAACTAAACATGGGCAACGGAGATCCTAAGGAGCTGAGAGGAAAAATGTCATCTTATGCATTTTTTTGTGTGAAAATCTGCCGGGAGGAGCACAAGAAGACGCACCCAGATGTCAGTCAACTTCTCAGAATTTTCCAAGAAATACTCAGAGCGGTGGAAGACCATGTCTGCTCAAGAGAATGAAAAATTTGAAGACATGGCAAAGGTGGACAAGGCCCGTTAGGAAAGAGAAATGAAAACCTATATCACGCCTAAAGGGGAGACAAAAAAAAGTTTAAGGATCCCAATGCACCCAAGAGGCCTCCTTCAGCCTTCTTCTTGTTTTATTAGGAGTACCGCCCCAAAATCAAAGCCGAGTATCCAGGCCTATCCATTGGTGATGTTGCAAAGAAACTGGGAGAGATGTAGAAAAACACCGCTGCCAATGACCAGCAGCCATATGAGAAGAAGGCTGCTGAGCTGAAGGAGAAGTACGAAAAGGATATCGCTGCCTAAGGGGCTAAAGGAAAGCCTGATGCAGCCAAAAAAGGGAGTCATCAAGGCTGAGAAAAGCAAGAAAAAGAAGGAAGAGTAGGAAGATGAAGAGGAGGAAGAAGAAAAAGAAGAAGATGATGATGATGAATAAGTTGGTTCTAAAGCAGTTTTTTTTTGGGGGGGGTGTCTATATAGCATTTAACACCCTATACACAACTCATTCCTTTTAAAGTAAAAAAAAATGGAAATGTAAAGCTGCATAACATTTGTTTTCAAACTGTACAGTGTCTTTTTTGTATAGTTAACACACTACCGAATGTGTCTTTTAGTTCGCCCTGTCCTGGTGGTATTTCCAATAGCCACTAGTCTTGCCTGGTATAGTATGGGGGTTGTAAATTGGCGTGGGAATTTAAAGCAGGTTCTTGTTGGTGCACAGCACAAGTTAGTTATATATGGGGATGGTCGTTTTGTTTTGGTTTCATCTGATGCAGCTTTTATGAAATAGTTGTTCTGTTAACTGAATACCACTCTGTACTTGCAAACAAAAAAAGGTCACAGCTGTTTTGTTGACATCCTGAATGCTTCTAAGTAAATAGAATTTTTTTTGTTAAAAAAAAAGTAAAGATTACAGTCAAGAAAATCCTATGGGACCATTCTACTCTGTACCACATGTGGTGGCTCTGAGTCAGAATTAACTCCACGGACACAGACAACAACAGTAATTTCATTAAGAAAAGTAAAGAAGAAATAGGTGAAATAAATATTAATAATGTATTTTTTTGGTAAATATTCCCAAAATATTATCATTTCAACATGCAATTAATATGAAAATGAAATTATGAAAGAGATAGTGCACATTATTATTTTTTTTATTTTTACTTAGTTCTGGAAATTCGATGAGTACTTCACACTTGCAAGCACATGTCAGTTTAGACTCTATTGCTGGACTGATTGCATCCGTGACGTTAGATTACATGATGGAAAGCAATCTGCTGTACTCATGAGCAACTCATCACTAGAGAATGACAGCGGTGGGTCTTGTAATGCTGCACCTGATACCTTGATGACTCAGGTGACCAGTGACTAGTGTACTGGACAATGCAGTTTTAGGATCTTGCTACTCAAAATGTGGTCGGGGCCTCATCCATCAGTATCACCTGGGAGCAGGTTAGAAATGTAGAATCCTGGGTCCCTCTTCAGATCCACTAAATGAAAATCTACAGAGCTCTGTGCACATTCAAATTTGAGAGGCCATGGCCTAGGGGAGGATTCCGAGTTTCAGATTCTTTTCATCCATGGCCTCTTGCTGACAATAAATAATAACAACCGTATCATAGTAGCAATAACCAGTAATACATATCCCACACACAAAAAGAAAAATACTATCATCTACTGAAGACTTGAAGGTCCTTAGGCAGAACAAATGGTTAATGCTCAACTGCTAACCTAGAGGCCGGTGGCTCATACCCAGCCTGAAGTACCGTGGAAGTAAGACCTGGTGATCTGCGTCTATAAAAGATTGCAGACAAGAGAATCTTATGGAGCCGTTCTACTGTGTAATGCCTGGGGTTGCCATGAGTCAAATTTGACTGGACAGCAGCTGTGTGCATTCTGAAAATGCTTTAGAAACTTTTCCTTGCAATTGTATAACAGTTCCATGAGGTTTTAAAGTTCTATTTTCTCCATTTTACAGATAAAGAAAGTGAGGCTTGGAGAGGTGAGGTGACTTAAAGTCTCACTTCCCAGGAAGGTCTAGGCCTCTGCTGTGGTCTCCACTGTGACCACTTTGCCATACTTCAGACATCCCCTCAACTCCTTCCCAAGCCCTTTTGACCTCTCCACCCCTGACTTCCCAGACTCCGGACAAATGGTAGTTAAGAGTCCACTGGCCTCATTACTGAGTCCCCAAGATCAGTCTTGACACCATCGCCTTCTTGGAGGAATCAGTGGACTGCTGCTTCTAGGGGATTTCTCCCAGCATTACCTCTTTCTTGAACCCAGGAAATACAAAGGCCTCTGTGTTTGTGTCAGCTGAACGTGCCTGTCTGCCTCTGGAATCCTCGGACACTGGCAAAGGTATGGCTGACTCGGCCTCTCACGGGAACTTTGGCCCCAAATGCAACCAAGAGAAAGCAGGGCACGAAGCCAGCAGGTACACAGTGGCTTCAACTAACCAGGCACTTTGAGCAACTGGTTTGGGTGTTGCCCCCAAAGCTTTTCTCATATCTCATAATAGCTGGGAAATTTAGACCTAGCTCTGCTGTCTACCTCAACATTCCCTATCAATGGCTGAGTAGACTCAAAGGCAACTAGAATTTACACCAAGCTCTGGTAGCGTAGTGGTTACAAATCGGGCTGCGAACCGCAAGGTCAGCAGTTCAAAACTACCAGCTGCTCCGCGGGGGAAAGATGAGGCTTTCTGCTCCCGTAAAGATTGACAGCCTCGGAAACCCTGTACAGGGTCGCTATGGGTCGGAACCGACTCGACGGCACTTAACAACAACAGCAACAACAATCACAATGCACCACTGAAGAAGTGATGCATATGAGTTATGGTGTTGAAGAAGAATATTAAAAGTACCATGGACTGCCAAAAGTACAAACAAATCTGTGTTGGAAGAAGTACAGTCAGAATGCTCTTTAGAAGCCAGGATGGCTTCTCACTCTTCTGACATGTTATCAGGAGGGACAAGTCCTTGGAGAAGGATACCATGCTTGGTAAAGTGGAGCGTCAGCAGAAAAAGAGGAAGACCCCCAATGAGGTGGACTGGCACAGTGGCAAAGGGCTCAAGGGTAGCAGTGATTGTGAGACTGGTATAGGACCAGGTAGTGTTTCATTGTGTTGGGCACAGGCTCGTTCTGAGTAGGAACTGATTCGATAGCATCTAACAACAGCAATAGTCTCATTAGGAGGCCTTCACAAAAAGTCCAGTCCAGACAGTAACTTCTGAGGGCATTTACTGGGTCAGTTAAATTCAAGTCAGAAAAGTCAGCTCAGAAGATTATGGTGACTGTATTTTGGATTCCAAAGGTGCCAGCTTGATGTTTTCTCGAAGGACATAGGACTAATATGGGGACTTATTAGGAAGAAGTTTCAAGAAAAACTGCAAAGGTGAGAAAATGACCAGGCAATTTGTGCCAAGAAACTTCCCCCCACCACAACAATGAATTTTGCTCTTTCTTCGAGGGTAGCAAGGGCTGTGTTATAAGCATTTCATGGGAAACCCTTCTCCTCATTTACCCTACAGTCCTGATCTTACTCTTTCAGACATTTTGTTTTTGTTTTTGTTCTCTAAACTCAAAGAGGAGTCCTGGTGTGGTGCTGTGGGTTAATGTGCTAGACTGCAAAGCTGTTTGAACTGCAAGGTTGGCGGTTCAAGCTAACCATCTGCTCCTTGGAAACCCTATACAGAGTCGCTATGGGTCGGAATTGACTCG